AGTGTCCCTTTAAGATGTAGGCATTCAGCACAACTGGAAGCAGCTCCAGGTCTGCAAGAGTCCGAAGACGGGCTGGAATGGAGGCAGTATTGAAGTATTGCAACAGAATTTCCATATGGTGTCCTTGTTTATAATATTATTTTTCAGCTACAGTGTCTCTTTAAGGATGGTGCCACTGTTGCTGCACAGGATAATTTGCCTAGCAGATTATCTGCTTACACTAAAGTGCTCATAGCTTTCAATTGACAAATGTTTAATCTGACAGTTGTGGCAGGAGTTGTTTCTTTCCCTTAGTTAAGACTGCTGAGAGCGTTTAAGCAGCTGTTGTGTAGCTAACTAGTACAGGAAACTATTTTTCAATTTACTTCTGACATCATGGTTGGACACCGGATTTTAAACAAAAAAAACTGTCAAAGTAAAATGAGTGGCAAAGAAAGTAAATAACTTACTTCAGCAGTCAACTGTCTCTGTGCTTCCTTAGATGCTTGTAAATGTATTCTCAGCTCCTCCTTCTCCATTGAACTCTGTTGAGTAAATCATATATTAACATATATGTATTGTTCCAACTAATATTTTAGCCTAAATGTGCATCACCCAGGGGTTTAGTGTGCAGAATAATTGAAAATATTCTGGGAATTCTATTATGTACTTTAAAAATGCTAACACTCCGATATTAACCCCTTCTCGACCAATGACGGAATTATTTCGTCACACTTTTTTCCGTTTCTTAAAGACCAGTGACAGAATAATCCCATCATGCGGTACAATGAGCATTGGTCCATTGAGGGACCAGTGCTCATTGAGTTAACCCCTTCATGACTGAGCTAGTTTTTAGTTTCTGTTCCTAAATGACTGACACACTTTTTACAATTTTGCTGTGTGATTCTTCCACAGCAGCAAGTTTTGATTATTATTATTATTTTTAGAATTTTTTTAATAATAATATACAGAGGCTAATATAACTCGGCACGTACAGTGTACGTGGCCAGTCATATAGCCACTTTGTGACGGGACATACACTGTACGTCTCCTGTCACGAAGGGGTTAATGCTCATGCTGGGCCCCTCAGGGTCCGAGACAGACCCTCAACAGCAAAATTAGGGGACCCAGTACTGTGATCACAGCAATAGGTAATTGCTGTGATCAAAGAGCTGAAACAGCCACTGAGTTGGCTTGCAGCTCACTGTGTTGTGGAGCTACAAGCCAGATCAGTGCATTACAAAAGTGATACAAAGTATCTCTGAGGAGAATACAGTATCTCCACAGAATACTTAGTATCTACAGCCCATGAAAATAAAACTTAACCCCTTAGTGTCCCCTAGTTTAAAAAAACTGTTTAATCATTTTTTTTACATTTTTAAAATTTAATTTTAAAAAAATATATACCTTTAATAAAAAAAGAAAGAAAGAAAATATATATAGTGATGAGACAGCTATTAAAGTTAGGAGACAAACATACCACATTCTAAAATTATTCCACACGAAAATAGAATTTTGTTACCTAAAACTTCCAAAATAAACTGAAATCCCAGGCATATGATATAAATCAGGACAAAAAAAAATACATTATGAATTACTTTCTGTTAGCTACACTAATTATGTACACATTATTATTGCCAAAACTCTGAAAAATTAGTTTTTTTCAATTTTTTTATAAAAAAATAAATTTATATATGCATACGTCACATCAAATTAAAGCCCAGTTTGTCTTTTAAAAAACGGTATATACTGTGTAGGTGCAATGAATCAGAAAGATGGAAATTATGGTTAAACAAAAAGGAAAATTGCTCTGGTCCCCAGGAGCTGAAAAAAATGTTCTGAAGCTGTGTCACTAAGGGAGTTAAACTACTTCATAATCCACAGTAACTCCCAGGGTGATGTCAAACTGGTTACCATGACACCAACATTCCTTTGAACAACAGAGCAATAGCAAGCAAATCACTTAGACGTTCCAGGTGTAATGAGGCGTGTGTCTGCTGCATCTCACAAGAGAGTTAAACTTTGAACATGTACACTCCTATACACTAAGCAGATCTTCACAACAATGCTTTTCAAACAGAAAAAAACACTATCTGAAGTCCATCTCATGTCACCCTTTGGCATCCATCTGAAATCCATCTTAAAGTGACATTAAACCCTCAGATTTTTTTAACATAAACCAATACTGTAATGTGCGCCTTACTGTAATCCATGGTTGTTTCCCTTCTCTTTGCTGCTCTTCCCAGCATGAGAAAAGATACAGATTTAAAAGGAAGAGCAGCAAAGAGAAGGGAAACAACCATGGATTACAGTAAGGCGCACATTACAGTATTGGTTTATGTTAAAAAAATCTGAGGGTTTAATGTCACTTTAAGTCACCCTTTGGTCACTCGATGTCACCCATACTATTCTGTGACGTGATGCTACAGAAAAAGCTCTCCATGCCAAATCACCTGTAAAAAGATCCTTTTTTGAGAGTGGCAGTAACCAGAAGTTCCCCCCTGATTGCTCTCACTGTCTGGCATTCCTTGCTAGAATAACAATGAGATAAACGCTGAAAACGCGCCTACACATATACCTCTTTCAGCTTGTGCTGAAGGTCAACCATCTGTGACAGCATATTAGAGATCTGCTCATGGTATTGTACAATCTCCTCTGACTTTGTGGAAAGCTCTTCAGTGAGTGTGCCGATCTGGGCATTTGATTCACCTGAAAATGACAGTTAAACATTAAGACATGAACATTCACCTGCAGTTTCTGGTCTATATCGGTATTCTATATCTGTATATGAAATATATAATGCTGCTGATAGACTTTTCCACCTAACCAACTGCTCAGTATCTGCAACCCCCCTCTGCCAATCCCTGCACTGGCTTCCAATCGCTCAAAGGATAAAATTAAAAATATTAACAACCACTTACAAAGCCATCCACAACTCTACCCCAGGTTACATCCCCAACCTTCTCTCAAAGTATCACCCTAACCGTCCCCTGCACTCTTCCCAAAACCTCTTGCTCTCTAGCTCCCTCATCAACTTCTCCCATGCGCACCTCCAGAACTTCTCTAGAGTATCTCCCATTCTTTGGAACTCCCTACCCCAACCTGTCCGTCTATCTAATACTCTGACTGCCTTTAGGCGATCAGTAAAGACCCATCTCTTCAGGGAAGCCTATCCCACTTCAAACTAACCATTGAACTATCTCTTTCTCAAACAACTCACGGGTAAGGCCCTCCTTACAATTGTATTGTAATTGTAAGGTCTTCCCTATGTTGTAAAGCGCTGCGCAAACTGTTGGCGCTATATAAATCCTGTATAATAATAAAATGAAACGGGGGAATGGTGGGTGCGGTGGAATCCAGTTTGCTTGGTTTTTTTTTTTAACAGATTAGATATAAAGGGATCTCCATTGTCACTTTCAGCATAGCAGTCTGAGTGGTGTGAATTGAGCGCGCTCGCGAAATCGCAAAAAAACACCATAGCCAAAATTGGCCACAGGCGGCGTTTTAAATGATTTTACCGCTCATCAGTTTAGTGTTATCAGTGATTAATGGCCCGAGAATTATTGCTCTCATTGGGACGTTCGAGGCGACATGTAACACACGTGCAGCATAATTGGAGCAATCGTCGTTTTTGCATGTAGGCGCATCTAACACATTTTTGAGCATCTATGTGGGGGTGGGGGACTTTAAAAAAAAATTGTAGGTTTTGTTTTGTGTGTGTAAATTTGTATTTATTTTGAGCAATTTAAAAAAAAAATAACTTTTTTTACACTAAACTTTATTGTTATAACATAGGGTGCTCAGAAGTCCCCTATGTGATAACAAATGACAGTTACAGGTCCCCTTTATGGAGACATCAGGGGTCTCTAAGACCCCTAATGTCACCTAGGGACCCCCAGAGAAGCTGATGAAGCACAGATCTGCTTCATCAGCTTCTCTCCGGTTTCTTTACTGGAGAGTGACAGAGGAATGCGGAAGTGATGTAATATACATCACTTCCTGCATTCAGAGACCGGGAGGAGAGCTGAGGGAGATTGCGTACTGAAGTTGGCGTAGATATTTAAACATATACATATTCTTAACAAGCAGATAATAAGCTTTAAAAAAAAAAAACTATTACTGATCTCTGTAGATGCATATACACTGATTTGAGAAATTCTCAAAAGCAGTGACCCTCGCATACTTCCAGCCTTCTAATCTTTCATGCAAATACAGATTAGGTGTTGAGTGCGCTCACTTCAGTGCTCCATGATTTCAGTGCTTCTGCTGTGAACTTAGATAATGACTTGCTCCATAGTGCCGACAGCTACAAAATACCAAAATAGGTACACTAGAGGTCTACAACTTGTCTGCACCTGAGTACCCATTCAGCTGCTACTGCTATTAAAAAGGGAAAGCAGATGGTCTACTACTCCTGCATGGACTTCTTATATATTACAGAGAAAGCAGGAGCAATGGAGGGCAGACCCAGTACCTTGCTTTGACCCAGAGATCTTACTGGCAGCCTCAAAGATATATGAAGCCAAAGGGTAATTCAGCCTAACAGAAATTCATTTTGGATGGACTAACCCTATTCTTGGCCACCACAGCTTCCCATGACATTATCCTGAAAGGAAATATTTTCCCCTTTGGAAAACCTAAGCAACAACATTTTTTTTGTTAACACTTACGAATCTCTTTCACACAGTCGATGACCAGTTGCTGCTCTTTTTCTTCATATGTAATTGTTTCGGTTTTCAGATGTGAAGCCTTAAGCCAAGAGAAAAATGTGAAATAAATGTTAACTTAGACCAATATGCGTTTTTTCAAACTAAATCTAACAAGCAAGGGCTCATTATGCACCTATTAATTGCAATGTGCATTTAGTGTGTTCCAGTAATGTGGGTTTTTGTTTTTTTGCACCCCAGTGCATCAAGACAGCGCACTTCCGATGTACATGCACTGCAGCGCAATACAACACACGGCAATGCTTGACTCACATTGTCACGTTGTCAAGATGCAAGTGTGATCTCTTTATTATTGATGTGTGACTGTCGCCTTGAGAGGGGAATCCTGTGTGGTCCCCAAAACGTTGGCTGTATGACGTATGTGACATATCATTAATAAAGAGATCATGTTTGCATCTCGGCAACAGAGTGCTGGTGACTTTTCACACATGAGATCCATGCACTGTGCCATCCACTGCTGTCACTACTAGCACCACTACTCTGGTCATAATGCTTTACTGCCATGTAGCTGGCATCTGTATCATTTTGTGGTGCACAGCAACAGGCGTTGGAGGTGCACTGCCTTAGTGCACTGAGGTGCCATTGAAAACGAATGGCACCGTAATAAACCCTGCATGCATTACAGTGCCATTCACTTTCAATGGCACTTCAACACAGTAAGGCAACGCACCTCCAAGCTCCACAACAGATAGGTGTGAATGGGCCCTAAAGAACAGATGGACATATGTAACAGTCAAATGAGAGTCACCAGCTTTAGACCTGCAATGCACTGCCACATTGATCCCTGGGTAAACATTCACTGAAAACGCATTAAAAACAAAAAATGTTTTTATATTTTTAGGCTTGGCCATCACATAAAATAAATAAATTAACCATGTGTTTTTTTCATGTCTTTGATTGTTTTCGTACAGAGATTAGGGTCAACTCTCAGGTCACATTCTTATGAAATCAACTAGATAAAGAGCACTAAGAGAGTTCTGTGGAAGTGTGTTATAAAATAACTGGATGTCATAACTAACAGTAGTACCGAGAAGAAAGTAGTTTTGTAACCGACGGAGACCTGGCTGAACTATTTTATATTCCTAGCCTTCGAACAGAACTTTGACCCGTAGGTTTACTATGAATGCAGATTCACATAATAAAAACAGATCAAAAGAACTTTGTTTGGATGATGACGAGCAAACTAGCATATCTTGTATCAAAATTACATCAATGATTATATGATTATTGGTCTAGATATTCAAGTTCAAATGAAAATGAAATCCAGGCCAAACATAAAACTAATTAAAGCGGAACTCACAGTACAATGCAAGGTCTGCTTATAATGTCCAGGCCCCCTTGCCCTGTAAAAATATACCTGTAAATAATAAAGTTAGATTTTACACATACCTAAAAACTCTTTCTCCGTCCGTTGCTTCCATCAAGATCCTGAGGAATACAGAGCAGCCAAAAATCACATGAGAAGACGCTCATGCAATGGCCTAGACTAAAGTGTTTTCTTGAGAAATTGGGTCTGCACTGCATTCCCCAAGAAACTTCCCAGAAGGATGGTGATGTCACACCTAGCAATGTATGGGGGAAAGGTAAGTATAAAATCTAATTTTTTTCTTTACAGGTACATTTCGCACATACAGGTGATTTTTTTAAAGTGGGAGGGGTACTAGATCCCATATATTATAAGCGGACTCTGCATTGTACTGCAAGGCTTGCTATAAGGGATATGCAGTATGAATAGCTATTTATATCTATTAATTTTTTGTTCATTGGAAGAAATATTTCACTAAGTACCACTACTGGGAGATCCCCTCATACTACATGGTTGCAGGTAAATCAAAAGGGAAAGCTACACAGCAAATGCATAATTAATTATGTGTAGAGCAGTGTTAAACTGGCCATACACTTATAGCTTTTCTGCAGATTTTCTATGTCAGATGGAAAAAGTGCAACAGATTCCTCCATCTACGCTAAACTGTTTGGATGGAGCAATCTCCCACTGGGCCAAGCTTCAGTATCTTGCTAGCCAGCCCTGCTGGCTCACAAAATAACTGAACAATACCTGCAACCAATCAGATTGTTCAGGTATTTTGAGAGGCAGCGGGGCCAACTAGCAAGATACTAAAGCTTGGCCCAGTGGGAGATTGCTCCATCCACACAGTTTAGCGTAGATGGAGGAATCTGTTGCACTTTTTCTATCTGACCATAGAAAATCTGCAGATAATCTATAAGTGTATGGCCAGCTTTAAGCCATACACATTGTCTAGACTGCAAAAGAAATGCTGGAGGAAGGAGCGTCACACAAACTGCAAAATATAAACAATGCCACCTGGCTACATAGTAGGGCAGAAGTGTGCAAATGACGAGAGGGGCTGAACAGAGTAACCAATATCTAGGCAAATATAACTTCAAATAAGCACTTAACTGCCTGGTCAGAGTTCTGAATTAATGCAGTAGCGATACTCACAAATCAATCATTTCTGGTGCCAACATCTGACTCACGGTGCTTTTTCCGCAGAAAACTCTGGTGCCTAATAAAGTAAATATGGCATTCCAGGTAATACATTCAACCTGGCCAAGCCTATAAAAAGCTTAAGATAACAGCACAATACTGGCACCAAATACCTGTTTTTGCCTTCTCTTGAAATCTAGACGAAGGGTGTAAAAAGAGGCTCCTCATTTGTCCAATTTGAGATTAAACCCACAAACCCTGTCATTTAACACAGTCTCCTGTTGAGGACAATGCTCACTGCGACCTGCAGTTGTAAGTTGGATCACATGCTAGATGAGTACCGTATATACTCGAGTATAAGCCGTCCCGAATATAAGCCGAGGTACCTAATTTTACCACAAAAAACTGGGAAAAAGTATTGACCCGAATATAAGCCGAGGGTGGGAAATGAGGCAGCTACTGGTAGATAAAGCAAGAGTAATGAAGGACCTAGGTCTGCTTTAAGACCATGTTAAGCATTGTGTTAAAGGTTAAGGGGTTAAATGTTTGTTCATGTTAAGCATGGGGTATCATTTTAGGGAGCAGGTGAAGGCATAATTGTTACGGTTTGTGGTAAATGTTTTGGCTAGGTTTAAAGTGAACGTCGCTCTTGCCAAACTGTTTCACTGCAGCATGGTAACACAAGCATTGGTCGGGGGGACTGTAACGCCACAGTCTGCAAATAGATTGCTGTTGATCAGAGATGGGTGTGTGCTGGTGGCTGCACTATTCTAACACACACACACACTTCTAAAACACAGTGGCCATAGAATGCCCTGCATGAGCTTTAAAAGGATAATTAACCCCTTGTGTGTCTTTGCATATAGTAGTAGATATATGCAAAAACGTTTTTTTAAAAAGTTAACAAAAAGGGTTAAAACTTCTGTGTTTCCGCCGTGCACTCCCGTCCGAAGATCTGAAGATTCTCGGGTGGTCGCAAAGGACCGTGGGGCGGGCGCATGCGTAGTAGAGATCTTCAGCCAGGAGAAGAGGGGAGACACAGGGCAAGTCAACGCAGGCAGCATGCACCCGCACAGACTCCGTGGGACAGGAAGAGACAGGAGTCAGCGCTGGATCAGAGACTGGCACCAGCGTTGGAGGGACTCCTGAAAACTACTGGAAAGAAGATGATCGGATCAAGAGGCATCATTTAAGGCAAGT